CATCTGTCCACCATAAACTTCCCTCCATTTCTGCTGTCCCCACCCTGTTCATCTACCCCCTCAATGAGCCTCCTGTAGTCTCTGCATTCACTCTGGACCCCTCCTCACTCCAGCACCACCAGTTCTCCATATGTGGGCTAGAGGGATCTTTAAAAATCTCTCATTCCTGTTTGTGGCTTCCCATTTCTCTTAGGAAGAAACTCTTACTGCAGCCTGCAGGGGACGGCCCCTGAGCACCCGGCCAGGGCCAGCCTCTTCCGGATCCTGGCTCCCGTCTTTCTGCCCTCTGCCCCCCAGCTGCTCCCCAGCACCTTCAGCCCCATCTTCCCTCCATGTGGAATGTTTGCCAGCCTCCCACCTTCACCCTGACACCCCAAAGTCAATTCCTTCTTAATGATCAGAGTTCAGCTCAAATGTCACGTCGCTGATCCCCAGACTAGATCACTTCTCCAGTTATCCTTTCATAGCTCTTAAGTCATCCATGACCATATAATCAGCTCCACAGCCATCTATTTGAAGTTCTCTTCCTGTCACCTGACTGCCCTGAGGGCGGCTGTGACAGTCTGTTCCCTGTCGTCACCTAGCCCTGGGCTCATACGTTCAAAACTCCTGGGGTAGGTGTTGAACTACAAAGACCTCTTTATCACGGGATAGTTTAATCAAAGGCAGCCGCAGGGAACTCACAGCCCTAAAATGTCCCGAGGAGCGTGAGACACTTTGTCCCAGACAAGGAGGCCCTGGCTGCTTTGCCCAGGGCCTGAGGCTGCCACCTTATCTCAGGAGAACCAGCAAAGCTGCCTCAGGGGAACTTGTGGCTCAGAGGAAGGGAGCCAGGAGAGGCCTTTGTGGGAGAAAAAAGGGCTGTGTCTTGATAAAGGATAAAGTACAACCAAAAATATAAAAGTCTTATTTTGGACAGAATGTAGATGCCTTTAAAAGTGCCTAATTAAAACAAAAGAAGGAGATCAAATCGGGAAGGAAAAATTACTCTTCAAAAGGACAGCTCAGGGAAATTCCCTGGTGGTCCAGTGGTTAGGACTCCGTGCTTCCACCGCAGGGGGCGTGGGTTCGATCCCTGGTCAGGGGAACTGAGATCCCACAAGCCGCTGTACAGTGGGGCCAAAAAAACCAGACAGCTCCATTCAGCTCACAGCCTTGGTTTGGTTAATCCACTTGTTCCTTTCCCTGCAAAGAATAGGTACTGGTACATCACTTTGCCTCCGTGTGTTTTCAAAAAAATGTTGAGTCAAATAATATCTTAAGTACTTTATTTAAAATATGCACAGTTATATCAAGAATGAGGCAGATTTTTGTGTATCCTTGTGGGTAGCAAATAAGTGTGCCCAGTTTATTACCGATGGGAAGATTGGTGGTCCTCAAGATTCTTCTCAGTGTACACACCTTCCCTGGGGGGATTGCAGCCAATTCTGTGGCTTCAACCACCACCTCTACTGAATGTATTTTTATGACATGCAGCTGCCTCCGGGCCATATTCCATGTCCCTGAGCACAAAGAATGTAGCGCCAACGCTGCTGCTCCTCCTCTTCCCATGAATGGCCTCACCACCCACCCCACTCACCCCCAGCTAGCAGCCTGAGGGGCATCCTGACTCCTGTGTAGGAGGCTGCGCTTAGACTCCTAAGTGGACGGGAAGGGCAGACTCCTAGGTCGTGCATGCAGCAGGCCAGAGGGCCCTAGGACTGGCGCAGCAAGCAATTTAAGCTTTAGACCTGCCGGCTGGCGGAAGTGTTGCCTCCTTTGAGTCTCAGCTGTTGGTGCCCGAGTGGCTCGGGTGAGTGTTCCATGTGTCTCTCTAACTCGGGTGGGGCGACGAGGACACTGAACTTTAGGAGACTTGGAGACGGATGTATGGAGTGCCTTGTGCAGCCACTTTCGTGCAGGCCCTATTTACACCCTTTAATGATTCACTGCGAGCTCTAGGCAGGAGAAAACCAATGTAAAAACAAGCTAGATGGAGTCTGTATCTCAGCCTTCCCTAGCCGCATCCTTGGGCCAGACCCTGCTTTCCAGCACAGTTCTTTCCCTCCCCGATGTGAATACGTTTTGTTTTCTTTGTTTTTGCATTTTACTTTTTTTAATTTAATTTTTATTTCATATTGGGGTATAGTTGATTTACAATATTGTGTTAGTTTCAGGTGTACAGCAAAGTGTTAGTTATACATATATCCATTCTTTTTCAGATTCTTTTCCTGTATAGGTTATTACAGAATATGGAGTAGAGTTCCCTGTGCTATACAGTAGGTCCTTGTTGATATCTATTTTATATATAGTAATGTGTATATGTTAATCCCAAACTCCTAACTTATCCCTCCTCCCCACCTTTCCCCTTTGGTAACCATAAGTTTGTTTCTGAAGTCTGTGAGTCTATTTCTGTTTTGTAAATAGGTTCATTTGTATCATCTTTTTAGAGTCCACATATAAGTGATATATAATACTTGTCTTTCTCTGTCTGACTTACTTCATTAGTATGATAATCTCTAGGTCCATCCATGTTGCTGTAGATGGCATTATTTCATTCTTTTTTATGGCTTAGTAATATTCCATTGTTTTTAGGTACCACATCTTTTTTATCCATTCCTCTGTTGATGGACATTTAGGTTGCTTCCATGTCTTGGCTATTGTAAATAGAGCTGCTATGAACATTGGGGTGCGTGCATCTTTTTGAATTATGCTTTTCTCAGGGTATACGCCCAGGAGTGGGATTGCTGGGTCATATGGTAGTTCTATTTTTAGTTTTTTAAGGAACCTCCATACTGTTCTCCATAGTGGTTGTACCAATTTACATTCCCGCCAACAGTGTAGGAGGGTTCCCTTTTCTCCACACCTTCTCCAGCAGTTATTGTTTGTAGACTTTCTGATGACGGCCATTCTGACCAGTGTAAGGTGATACCTCGTTGTAGTTTTATGTTTTGGCTGCCGCTGTGCGGCTTGTGGGATCTTAGTTCCCCAGCCAGGGATTGAACCCAGGCCCTCTTCAGTGAAAGTGCTGAGTGCTAACCACCAGACCGCCAGAGAATTCCCATGTATCCTGCAACTTTACTGAATTCATTGATGAGCTGTAGTAATTTTCTGGTGGCATCTGTAGGATTCTCTATGTATAGTGTCATGTCATCTGCACACAGTGACAGTTTTACTTCTTTTCCAATTTGGATTCCATTTCTTTTTCTTCTTTGATTGCATGGCTAGGACTTCTAAAACTACGTTGAATAAAAGTGGTGAGAGTGAACATCCTTGTCTTGTTCCTGATCTTAGAGGAAATGCTTTCACCTTTTCACCATTGAGAATGATGTTAGCTGTGGGCTTGAATAGGTTTTAATAATGCCAAAAAGAGTGAGCATATGTTGGACTTTTACCCCGACCCAGGCACAGTCGAAGCTCTATTTGTGCCATGTCTTACTCTCCACAACAGCCTAAGTACTGCATTATGTTAACTGGGGCTCCCACAGACTTTGGGATCAAGTTCCAAGTTGATCCCAAACTTTTTTACAAAAAAAGAGGCTTTTGTGACCTTGCGCCAACCTCCCCAGACAGCCTTTTTTCTAGCTTCACTGCCTTCCCTGGAACGCCAGGCCCTGCACCCCATTCCCACATTTTCGCCTGGGCCCCTTGCTCTAGATAAGCCCCCCCTAAACTGAGTGCCCGGCACACGTGCAGCTCTGGCCACATAGATGAGCTGCACTGTGTAGCTGTTGATATATCTGTTTCCACACAGGAAGTAGGTTTCTGGTCAAGCTGGACTGGATGTTCTGTTTCCTTGTATATCTCTGGTGCCTGGCATAATAGGTGGCAAAAAGTGAATGAGAAGACAGACTTGTTTGTATGAATTCTATAATTTGTATGAATTTGTCATTGAAATCAATGTTTCAGCTTATACCAGGGCTTGTTTCAAGACTGAAAATGAGCCCTAAGCAAACTGCTCTCGTACATGTGCTCTGGGTGCCCCCCGCGCCGTCTCCCAGCAATATCCATATATCCACGTTTAAATATTCTTTACATAAATAATTGCCACAGAATCCTCGCCCTCCATTCTCTGGTTTCCCAGAATTTTTAAAAAATCTGTGATGGGAATAGATGATATCTGGTCTACTTCAAATAAGTCAACCCTGTTTGGTTGTTGTGTTCTTGATTCAAGGGGAATTGTTTCCAGAATCTAACTTAATCAACACTATGTGAAATAACTTCAGCTCCAGGCAGCGGGAGTTTCCTTTCTTCTCTAGAAAACACTCCTTTTACTGAATGGTCACTGTGGTGTTTAAAAAAAAAAAAAAATGTTGGCCAATAACATAAAGTTCTTCTAAACAGTCAAATATGCTTCAATGATATGGGTATATATGCTCTAAAACTATGCATTGGGTGCACGTGTGGGTGCCCCCGGCCTACCCCAGGTCCGGGTGTGGCTGCTTCCATACTGTCCTTTTGTTTGGCCTCAGCTGAGGTCTCCTCCTCCCAGATGCCTTCCTTGACCACCTTAAGAAAAGTAGCCACTCTGCCCCACCACTCTCTCTTCACCATCTGAAAACCCATTATTTATTACTGGGTGCACCTTTGTCGCTGGATCCCGTGTTCAGCTGTGAGTGGCAGGAGTGGGGCCACTGATGGGGCCCAGCGCCCCGCACAGGGCGTGGAGGGGCACTCCACGTCTGGGGAAGGAAGGAAGGAAGGACCCCGCCTCTCAGCCCTGTGTGCTCACGTCTGTTTCTCATCTAGCTGCTTCCACAAAGCCAACTTGTAGCTTCAGGACCACTGCTTCCCCCTCTCAGCCTCCCTCCTTGTGAGTAGCTGTCAAATCAGCCAGCAGTGTCATGATCAGCCCAAAATTTGGGATCTTTTCTCTTTGTAAAAAATCACCGATTTTATTCAGGTACGAATGCTAGAGCTGCAATTTGCATGTCATGTTATTCTCAGAGAGCGAGCGGTTCTTGGATATGAAGGTGTTAACAGAGCTTCCACGAGGCTAAAGTTCTACTTCTGTGTTTCAGATTAATCAAAAGAAGGAATATAAAGTTGACCTGGTGTTTACCACGGAGCTCTACAACCCAGAGGTAAGCTGCCATGGTTTGTGAAGTGTGCTATTAACAACTTGTATGAATTTTTTTTTTAAGTGAGAATCTTAATATGTAGTGACCTGGAGGTTTGCCTTTTTTTTTTTCTTTCCTTCTTTGTTTTCTATTTGTTCTCCAGAATTGAAGACAGCGCTAGGCAGGACCACTTCATGGTCTCGCACAGGGTTCCTTTTACCGCGTCCACACAGCCGCCGTCCCCTCCTTCCTCTGCCGCTGGGAGGGCGTTTCACACCCCCTTTGGACCCGGTGCCCCTCCCTAGCACCTCCGAATCCCCAGAATGATTCACTCTCAAATGCCAACCTTCTCTCCTGTCAGCTGGTGGCATTTCTCGTTAGCGGGCCGGCATAGCACGAGGCCACCTCCAGGAGCTTCCGTGCACAGAGGCATTCCGCAACTCAGAGCAGCCCACGTGCGCCGCAGGCATCTTCAGCCTCTCCTTCTGACCCAGCGGGCCACGGTCGCCAAGTTTCCTTTCCCCACCACCTCCCCCTTCGCAAGAAGAGAGGAAACAGCGGACGCATACAGAAATTAGAGCCAGATGGACTTCCCAGGGCTGGGCCAGGCTGGGAGGCAGGAACCGGGGTGGAGGGACCAGCCCAAACCCCTTTGTGTGGCGCGGAGTCAGAGCGGGGGATGAGCAGGCAGCATGGGCATTACGGTGTCTCAGGAAGGCGGAGCTTCGGAGAAGGCATAACGCCTCCGGCTGATGCTTCTAGAAGAAAGCTTACCAGCATTCACAAACAAGCTCTGACAAGAAAACACTACGCCAACTTTGCTAATTAACCTAAGAATTAAAGTTTTCTTAAAGCATAAGGAAGGTGCTTTTGGTTTCTGTGTTGCAAACGGAAGTGTTAGATTAAAGCTAAAAGGAAAACAATTACTAGATTACTTTGACCTACTGTGCTTCTCTGAAGGGCTAGCTAATTGAAATGCTTCCTTTCGGGAGGTAGGGAGAGTTCTTTCATCTTCTGGCAACTGTTTTGATTCTGTGGAGCTGTCTGGGGGGAAAGGGAAAGAAAAACAAAAGGGGACGATACCTATTGCCTTTTCTCTTCCCTGGAAACGGTTTTGACATCAAAAGAGTCCACGTACCAGCCCTGTCTTCTGCCTTTCATAAGCCTCTTCCCCATCGCTCCCTTCACCGTTTTCCTGTATTGCACCGATCATTAGGATTTTAATGTACCACTTAAATTTGCTCTCCTGTAAACCAGCACTACAGGAGAAGACGTTGCCTACTGGAACGCCTATTTCAGTTTTTTTGCATTAGTTCAAGGAGGGGGCTTATTTAGCAGATCCAATTTTAAGTATGGTTTCATTGTGGGCTTTTTCTTTTTGTTGTCTTAACTGGGACTCCACCCAGTTTAAATGACTGTAAACGTGAAAAGAACTCAGTTGCTCAACCAACCATGTTGTAACAGGAGTTACAGCCCATGGATGGGTTTTGAGTGCCGCCATGAACTCCCTCAGATTCTAGGCCCAGTGGATGGTATGAGTGAATGTGCATTTTTCTGGGAAGTGGTTCCCTGGCTTTTATTGTCGGGTTAAGGAATCAGTGACCTAAAAGAGTGGAGAAGCACCGTCCCAGAAATGAGTTGTACCCTTGATGTCTACTTAAAGCATCCAGCTTACCCAGCTCCATGTGTCTCTGGATTGGAAAGTAAGTGAGGGAGATCCCAGAACACTCAGTGTGTCTACCTTTAAATATGAGTGCAAGCAGACTTCCCTCGGTCACTCAGGTAGTTGAATCAGTCCCATTTGGGTGATCTGTCCCTCCACTTCTTCTAGATTAGACCTCGGAGTAGAGAGATGGCGTTCTCACAGAGCTGGGGCCCTGGCATGACACAAGACACAGCTCAGGTCCTGGCTTACCACTTACTAGCTGTGAGACATGGAGTAGGTTCCTCTTTAAACTTGTCTTAAACTGTAAAATTGGAATAAGAGGACTGAATTCCTCAGGCAGCATGAAGACACTGTCATTTGTGTTGATGGGAATCAGCTTCCTTTTGGTTCAAGTCGGCCGGCTTGAGGGCCAAGTAAGCATTATGTTGGTTGGTCCACGGTAGAGAGGAAAGTACCTCCATCCTAGCTAGAGGTTTGAGCCGAGTAGCACTCACAGATGTCAGTGGTATTTCTCTGGAAGAGGCCCAGCATTCTTTCATAAGGGCACCATCAGAAAGCAGGAGTTTTTTAAATGACAGCAAAGACAAGATTGTTGTGTTTGGCTGTGAGCACAGAAATCATTTTCTACAAAGCAAAGCATACTACATATGGATGCCAGTGCATACCTGCCATGTACAAGGAACTCCCCGATCTTATGTGTGTTTTTCATTGGAGTGAGTGGGGAGTGATAAGGAACCATTCTAATTCCAAAATCTTTATTTCAGGAAGGTAAGGAACATCTGGGGAAATGTTCTGCTCGAGTGTTTTTCAGGAACGAGAAACCCAGACCGGCCATTAATATAACATGTACTCGGCTCATTGAGAAGAAGACAAGACAAGAAGAAGATTATCAGCTCTACAAGTACATGAAGCAACTTAAAAACCTCTTGGATGTTGTCAGCATACCTGGTATGAACCAATATCTGGAATTTCTATATTCAGGAGTGCATGTCATTACTATATCTTAAAAAGAATGATCATGGAAGCAACCTAAATGTCCATCGACAGATGAATAGATAAAGAAGATGTGGCACATATATACAATGGAATATTACTCAGCCATAAAAAGAAACGAAATTGAGTTATTTGTAGTGAGGTGGGTGGACCTAGAGTCTGTCATACAGAGTGAAGTAAGTCAGAAAGAGAAAAACAAATACTGTATGCTAACACATATATATGGAATCTAAAAAAAAAATGGTTATGAAGAACATAAGGGCAGGACAGGAATAAAGACGCAGACATAGAGAATGGACTTGAGGACACGGGGAGAGGGAAGGGTAAGCTGGGACAAAGTGAGAGAGTGGCATGGACATATATACACAACCAAATGTAATAATAGCTAGCTAGTGGGAAGCAGCCGCATAGCACAGGGAGATCAGCTCGGTGCTTTGTGACCACCTAGAGGGGTGGGATAGGGAGGGTGGGAGGGAGACTCAAGAGGGAGGAGATATGGGGATATATGTATGCATATGGCTGATTCACTTTGTTGGACAACAGAAACTAACACAGTATATTGTGAAGCAGTTATACTCCAATAATGATCTATGTTTAAAAAATGATCATCTAAAAATGTATCCCCCAAATGGCAATTTAATTCAACTACAGAATGTGGTACACCTGATTATCTGAACAAAATTCAGAAGTATCCTTTTCCTGTTTTCCCAGAGTACAATACAGTGACTTCATTGAAAACTATCTGTGCCCCTTTAATCTGCCCACTTCTCATCCCAGACGCAGGGCAGGGCAAGAGCCGGACTCTAGGGAGAAGAGATGGAGGTCTTTGCAGCAGGACCCACACGTAGGAGTGCAGTTCTCAGGGTTGAGTCCAGAAGCTGAGGAGAAAAATTCTAGAGGTTTCTGGTGGTGGCTTTGGAAACTTTGGTGATGGGACCCCGTCCAGGGCCTCTGTCGTGTGCATCATGGCCTTCTGCACCAGGGCCGGGCGAGCTGTCTCGGGGCCTTGCTGGGAGGCTGCAGTGGAGTCAAGCTGATCTCATTTTAGGTCCAGAGCTAATGGGCGGTGGTGCCGTCTCTTATAAGAAATGAGCCCTGCCTCTGAAGTGACTCAGCTGAAGTGAAGCAGAGCCCATTTGCGCTGGCACTCAGCAGGGTCTGTGGACAGCAGCTGACACTCGGCACTTACCGGCAAATCCAATCTCCAAAACCACAGAAGTCATCTCTGGACTTGCACTGGGGTATTAAGCTTGACATCTGACCACCACAGCGCTCCCTGCCCCACTGTCTCTCTCTCAGTTCACTCATTTGCCCAGAGACTGTGACAGACCCGTGTCAGCGTGGAGGACCTGTGGTCTCCATTTCTGGCCGCATCTGTGTCCCATCCATTACTGAGACTAAGTGTTCTGAAAAACCCGGAGGTGGGATACTGCACCTTGGCATTTCTCAAATTCAGAAGCTTGGCTCATTCGCATTATAGTTCTCTGACAACTTGGATTAAATCCTGTTCCAAAGAATTATGAAGAAAATTCAGAATCTTACATTGTAGTAGCATTTGTTTATATTTAACTACCTGAAATAAATGGGCCAATGACTAATACTTAAAATCTACGGTTATTTAGGGATTGGTCCCCTCATTAGCATTAGTTGGGGAAATAGGGTTTTATATATTCTTCTTAAAACACAAATTTTAGAAATCGTATTGGACCCTTTCTTTGAAAGGGTCTCTAGATTTTGGACAATTTTTAATAATGCAGGTTAACTGGATCATGTTAAGTCCTATATGCCCACAAGGATTATTCTGTAACAGTCTAACTTAATGTGGCTGCTATGAAGCTTTGAAAAAGTTTTTTGCTTAATATAGGGCACGTTTTCATCAACAAAATCTACAAGTTCTCTTGTCACTTTAAATTCAGAGATGTTTAATGGTGCTTATAGCCTGTATATCTAAAATTATCTACTTAAAACTGAAAAGGTTTGGTTTTAGATAAGTTGAATCAAAACCTATGTTGGAGCAGCCAGTTCAGATCTCAGCAGATCCCATTCAGTATTTAATCAATCCAGGGTATTTGACTGTTGAGCAGTTTTCTCTACAACTGCTAAGTGAGAAGATCTAATCCATTTTAGGCTATCCTTGCTCTGCACTGTTTTTCCCCTAAAAAAAGTAGTTGTCTGGTTTTTATGAAGAGTAGAAATTTCTCCTCTTCTAATGAATTCATAAACTTCCTATAGATGAGCCCAACTATATGACATACAAAAGAAAAGACTGGGGACCTGGGAATAACCAAAGTCCTAAGTGACTCTGTAGCAGTGCTACTGGCATTTATAACTTTCAGTTGTCCTCATTATTCACAGTATTTTGTATAACTAATTCTTCTCCTATGGTAATTCGTTTTGATCTCACAAGTTAAACTCCTAGTGGCACTGTAAGACGAAGGAAGTCTGTCACTCTCTCGCTTCCACACACACGACAGGAATTCAAGGCTCAGCTCAAATCTCATCGCTGTCAAGCTGTCCCCAACCTCTTCAGCCCAAAGAAACCTCCCCCTCCCTGTGTCCCCTCAGCTCTCTGATCCTCCGTTTTTCTTAAGGAAGGTGTCAGCTGCATTTCCACAGGCAAGTGGAGGGTAGGGCCTCTCTTTGCATCTCTCACAGCACCCAAGCAATCAGTGAATGCCTTTTGAATTGACTACCACTATAAACCAGCCAAGTCTAGTTCTACCAATACAGAGCAGAATTTATGCGAAAGATTATTTTACTAAGAAGGATTCATTTCCTAATAAGCTGTTCGTATTCCTCACATATTATACTATTATTGGGCTTTAATATACACTATCTCTTTCAAACTGCATAAATGATGGTCCATGAATAGCTCAAATTACTTGCTAAAATCTGAGTTCCTAAAAGTCACAAGAGGTAATTTATTAGTCATTGTATCCCTACCTATAGCAGTATCTGATATTAAGTAGATTTTTTTATAAATGTTTGCTGAATTTAAAAGATTGCAGTTCCAAAAACAATGCCACAGGAAAAACCCACTTGATTTCTTCATGTGGTCAAAAGTGACAGATGCTGCCAATACGCAGATTGGCTTTAACGCCAAGGATCAGAGAAGGACAAAGACGTCTGCTAGATTGTCAAAGACCAGCACATTGACTGTAGACCCAAACCAGAAGGTAATGTGGAGAAGATAACTGATAGATGTTTCCATCTAATTAAGAGATTTTAGATTAAAGGTTTTAGATTAACTTTGAGTATCATTATAGCTCTTAGTTTGCATTTATATTGTACAGCAAATAGCCCTTAAACTGTTTTATAGTAGCTTTACTTAGCAGGGCAAGTTGAAGCATGTAAGATTGCATACAATACAGAAACAGACAGTCACACTTCACTACTGAAACTTGGAATATTTTGTCCTGAAAACGTCTTAATATGAATGTACTTTTTTGTGTGCCCTCAGATAGTCATGGACATATTGATCCCTCTCTGAGACCCATCTGGGATTTAGCTTTTCTGGGCAGCTCTTACGTGATGTGGGAAAAGACAACACAGTTTTTACACTACTACATGGCACAGCTCAGCAGTGTGAAGCAGTGGGTAAGAAAAACTGACAATTAACTTGTACCACAAGAGATACAACCAATGCAATGTTCTTAGACTAAATTAATGTGAACTTCTAGTTCTGTGGCAAGAGTTTTAATTGCATTTCATTAACTCAATAAATATCTGAATGCCAGGTATGGTTGTGGGGACTGAGGATATAGCACTAAACAAAAAACTCAGTGTAGCTCTCCTTATTGAGACTAATTCTACCAAGAGAAGAAAGACAGTGAAGCGATAAACAAGTAAATATGTGGTAGGTGCTATGGAGAAAAATAAAGTAGGGAAAAGGGAATGCAGGGTATTGACAGAATTAAACTTTAGTCTAAAGCAAGGCCCCTCTAATTTAAGCAGAGGTGACACTGGAGCAGAGGCCTAAGGGAAGTGAGAGTGAGCCACGCCTCCAGAAGGGAAGGCATTTCAGACAGAGGGGACGGAGGCAGCATTGTGGCTGATGGGTTGGAGAAACAGCAGTGAGGCCGGTATGGCTGCAAGAGATTGAGCAAGGGGAGCGTGCCGGGAGATGAGATCGGATGGAGGCGGTCAGTTCATGGAAGGCCATTAGAAGGACCCTGTCTTTTACTCACTACAGGGTTTTTAGCAGAGAAGTGACACGATCTGACTTACAACAGGATCATTCTGGCTGCTGTGTTGAGAACAGACTGTAGATAGACAAGGGTGGAAGCAAGGAGAGCAGTAATGTATTGCAGTAGCCTAGGCAAGGCCTGGTGGTAGCTCGGACCAGGGTGGCAGCAGTGGATGTGGTGAGAAGTGTTTGCATTTTGAAGGTAGACCAGCAGTATTTGTTGATGGGTTAGATATGGATATATCCAAGAATGAGAAAAGTCAAGGATGATTCTTATGATTTTGGCCTGAGTAACTGGATGGAAGGATAGAGTTTTCACTTACTGATTGGGGAAGACTACAGAGGAACAGATTTGGGTGGAAATTAGCTTGAGTTGGAGCATTCTAAATTCCATAACCAAGCAGAGAATTTGTATCGTCATCTGGACATAAGAGTCTGAAGTTCAGGGGAGATGTCTAGGCTGGAGTCATCACCACATAGATGGTTTTTAAAGCCTCAAGAGTGGTTGAGATGAGAGAATGAGTGTAAACAGAGGAAGGTTATGTAGGGATTGAGTCCTGGAACACTTCCAACTTTAGAGGGTTTAGAGATATGAGGGAAAAAAAAGTGTTTCAAGGATGAGAACTGACTATCAAATGCTGCTGGAAGGTCAAGAAAGATGAGGACCGAGAACTGCCATTAGGTTTAGGCGAGCTGGAAGCAGATGGAGAGCTTATCAAGAGCTGCCTCACTGGCACAGTGTGCGCAAAGTCCTGATTAGAATAGGTTCAGGAAAGAACGGGAGAGGAAGCGGACACTCCATGTCTTTCAAGGGATTTAGCTATAAAGCGGAGTAAAAGGGAGGGAGGGGGCTAGAGCTGGAGGATGCGTAAGCACAGGGTTGAAGGAGGGTTTTCCGTTGTATTTTTAGATTGGGCAATTTAACGGCATATTTATATGTTGATGAGAAAAATCCAGTAGAGAGGGGCAAAGTAGGACTTGTAGGGAAGAGAAGGAAGACTTGTTGGAGTTAACATCTTTGAGGAGATAAAGAGAGGATATGATCGATCCAGGAGATGACTGGACAAGGGCACAGAGTTCACCTGGAGCAAGGCTTTCAATGTGGCACAGATGCTGGTAGGAGGGTGGGTATCACGTGACGGCCTGTGGAAGTTCTTTCCTGACTGCTTCTGTCTTCTCAGTGAAAAATGAGGCAAAGTCACCAGCTGAGCGTGAGGATGGAACAGGAGGTGAGAGGGGGTGGGAGTGCGTGGATTCGAGCATCATGCAGCACTGCAGGCCTCTGAAGGTCTGTGGTCGCGAATTTAGAGAAGGGCCAGTCACTCAACTGGTGGGGTGCGGACAAGGAGGTGGCTGAGTGGGGGGTTTTGTCAGGCACCTGTCATGTGGAGAGGGAGGGGCACTTCCAGAGTAAACAGTATCAACTACTCAGAGGCAGGCTGAGCCAACCATAAGTACACATTTCTAAAAATCGTTTTCTTCACGGGTGGCTGAAGCAGTACATTCGCCATGGATGGAGAGCAGTGAGTATCTTCCGAGTACAAGGAGTTGCCTGGCGTCCAGCCAGCATTATTCATGCTGGTAATAGCTCGGTGTACCTTTCAAAGGCCACTTGTGAAGCAGACAACTGTTTGAAATGTAGTTTCATTCCTTATCGAAATGAACGTTTCTTTCCCCTATGGAGTGGCTTTGATAGAAATGGCCGTGTAATTGACTGCTGTTACACCAGGAGTTAGGGCACAGCACCGATTCTTTGGCTGCAGGTAAAAAGTTTCTCTCGTCTACCAAGACAATCACGTCCTCAACAGAAGGCTTTTCCTTTAACTGAGAAGTTAGGGGAAATTTTTTGTTGAGTGTAGAAAATGGCGTCAAGATAATAGAACTAATTTTAATGAATGTCAGAGGAAAACTCAATAAGAATAGAGCAACAGGGACACGAGAAAAAATTAGGATCTTTTAATGGCATTGTTTTCCATTCTTCTGCATTTATAAATGACACATCACCTAAGTAAACACCAGGACTTACTATGGCTTGAAAACAGCAGCCCCATTTCTCACTCATTCTAGCCAGTCTGTCTTTGATGTCCATCATCTGTCCATTAATATCCCTACAAGTGGGAAAGTGGGGACAAATGTAATTGTAGAGCTAAGAAAACAAAAATGCAGGGGGAACAGGACTTTTAGATTTTTTTACCCTGTGGTGTCTGTGTTTTAGATAAATAGTAATTGAAGATGCAGCTGACTTGGTTGGGTCACCTAAGGCAAATGACTTCTTCTCTTAGGGCTATGAAATGAGGGTCAACAAGCTTATTGAATGAAGCCCTCGAAACTAACATAAAGCTAAAATACTGAAGCAATTGGAAAATTTGGATTAAGGCTGATATGCATTTCAGATTAGAGTTTTTTTTTTTTTTAAAGCCTACAGCACCCAGTATTCCCAGGCGGCCTCCCATCCAAGTTATGTAACAACAAGCAAAACAAGCAACAATTTCTAAAAAAGTCACTACAATCAGAAAGTCTAGGGACTGTCCCTGGAGACTAGAAGCAGGACAGTAGGGGTGACAAAGCAAAGACAGAGAAGCAGGGAGTGACTGGAGGTGCCCGTGGCCCAAGGTAGCTCGGGAATCTATAGGGATTATAGTTTTTTCCAAAAGCTTACTGGGTGGGAATTACTATCTCTCCACTCAGGGATAATCCAATTGTGTAAGGCAGTGCAGCCTTATAAACTTCACAGCCCCAAATGAACACAGCCTGAGAGAAGAGTGGGCTAAGAAATAGCTGCAATACAAATATAAGACCCATCTTACCGGCAGTTATTGCCTTAGGACTGAAGAACAGATGTCATTCCCAAACCATGAGGACTAAGCCAAGGGCAGGGGAGATACTGATGGCTAGAAAAAAAAAAAAAAACGGATAAGGACTTTCCTGACACCCTTTAGCCTTTCTTTAATGTGAACTGAGAAAAGTAAAACTGTTACTTTTCCAGCATTGTTCCAAATCTTATCAGTACCAGATACTGTCAGCATCCCAGACTATCTAACCGGCAGCACATCACTGGCAGCCAGCCCAAGTCTTCACCCTAACTAGAGGCCTCCATCGGCCGACAGTACATTACAGAAACCATCGTATCTACCTTATTCTGCTAAGAAATCTACTTTTGACTTGACACCATAAAACTCCTTGAAAAGAACATAGGCAAAACGTCCTCTGACATAAATTGTAGCAATGTTTTCTTAGTCAGTCTCCCAAGGCAGTAGAAATAAAAGCAAAAATAAACAACTGGGACCTAATCAAACTTATAAGCTTTTGCAGAACAAAGGAAACCATAAACAAAACGAAAAGACAACCTACGGAATGGGAGAAAATATTTGCAAACAATGCGACCAACAAGGGCTTAATTTCCAAAATGTACAAACAGCTCCTACAATTCAATATCAAAAAAAATCCAATCAAAAAATGGGCAGAAGATCTAAACAGACATTTCTCCAAGGAAGACATACAGATGGCCAACAGGAAAAGATGCTCAACATTGCTGATTATTAGAGAGATACAAATCAAAACTACCATGAGGTACCACCTCACACTGGTCAGAATGGGCATCATTAAAACATCTACAAGTAACAAATACTGGAGAGGGTGTGGAGCAAAAGGAACTTTCCTACAGCTGCTGGTGGGATTGTAAATTGATACAGCCACTATGGAGAACAGTATGGAGGTTCCTTAAAAAACTAAAAATAGTTACCATATGATCCAGCAATCCCACTCCTGGGCATACATCCAGAGAAAACTATAGCTTGAAAAGATACATGCACCCCAACGTTCACAGCAGCACTATTCACAACAGCCAAGACTTGGACGCAACCTAAGTGTCCATCAACAGATGAATGGATAAAGAAGATGTGGTATAAGCACACAACAGAATACTACTCAGTCATAAAAAAGAATGAAATTCTGCCATTTGCAGCTTCATGGATGGACCTAGAGATTCTCATACTAAGTGAAATAAGTCAGAAAGAGAAAGACAAATACCATACGCTATTACTTATATGTGGAATCTAAAATATGAAACAAATGAACTTACTTACAAAACAGAAGTAGACTCACAGACGTAGAAAACACACGGTTACTAAAGGGGAAAGGGGGTGGGTGGGGGAGGGATAAATTAGGACTTTGGGATTAACAGATACAAACTACTATATATAATAATAGATATGGACTTCCCTGGTGGTGCAGTGGTGAAGAATCTGCCTGCCAATGTAGGGGACATGGGTTGGAGCCCTGGTCTGGGAAGATGCCACATGCTGTGGAGCAACTAAGCCCGTGCGCCACAACTACCGAGCCTGCGCTCTACAGCCTGCGTGCCACAACTACTGAAGCCCGCGTGCCTAAAACCCGTGCTTTGCGACAAGAGAAGCCACCACAATGAGAAGCCCGCACACTGCAACGGAGAGTAGCCCCCGCTCACCGCAAGTGGAGAAAGCCTGAGCGCAGCAACGAAGACCCAACGCAGTCAAAAATAAATAAATTTATTTAAAAAATAAAATAACCAACAAGGACCTACTGTATATCACAGGGAACTAGATTCAATATCCTGTAATAAACCATAATGGAAAAAATATTAAAAAGAATATGTATAACTGAATCACTTAGCTGTATACCAGAAACTAACAACATTGTAAATCAACTAAACTTCAATTAAAAAAATATCAACTTTTGATAGCGTATATTAATAACCTAAGCCAACTTATTCTCTACTAAAACCACACTGGTTCTGCTAGGGATCATTCCTTTTCTTTTTAGTGGGGAGGGGAGCAGTAGGGGTAGGGTAGGTCACAAGTATAAGGAAACCAAATACTTCATTCTGTCTCTAGGAAGATTAAAGTGCTAGGTTATCAGAAAAATGTGACAGTAAATCATCAATTTGGACTATAAGGATTTGACATATGTGATGATTTGAACAAAACCAAGATTATTTCTGAGTATTAAAAATGATGGCTTCCTGGCAGAGCCTTGCTTGGTGTGGGCAGTGCCCCCTGGGTACTTTGCCAGGCTGGGCTGCGCCATGTCTGGGCTGCAGCTCTTTAATAAGGCCTGGTTTGGTTTGGTCTAAGGGCGCTTCCCCCTGAAGAAGGAAGAATCTATGAACAGAAACATGAGGTGTGTCTCAGGAGCCTTACTGAGGAAGGTCTTAATTAAATGAAGAGGGTGCCCAAGCATTATAATAATCCAAATTTTTGTTTGGATTATTAAAAAATGGGTAACACTTGGTATTGAGCAGAAGTTTGTCAGATGGACTTGGAACGCCATGATTTGTTTCAAGTCTTTCTTCCTTTTTGCCTAAAATCTGGAGATTGCCATGATCTCCTTAACGCTATTTCAGAAACAGAAAGAGGCACTGTCCTGAAAAAACTTTATAAGACCAATTTTTTAACTGTAGAAATACATGGTAAACAGACCTTGAGAAAAAGTGCAGGCAGCACAAAAGTCTGAGACAAAAATTACACAGCACAGCAGCCGGCTGTGTCAATATAGTCCAAGGTCAACATCGTCACCAAATAAGAGTCAGACAAGGCTAAATGGACCCCCAAACCCAGCAATGCCCAAGTGATAACTGGAGCCTCCAGAAACTGTTCCTTTAGATAAAAGATGCTAAATTTTCTCTCATGAATTCTGACTTTGCAGCCTGTGTTTTGGATATTTGCTTTCACCATTCATGGGTACACTGCAAGGCAGAAGGGAAACCTACCCAATGACGCAAAGTACCACAGAAAAGCAGTCACTTTCTGATTGATCCAGGCCCTCTCTTGTATCATATCCCTCCAGTACCCCCTCCACCTGATGGAAATTTCATGGCTTGTAAAAGTCTTCATCACTGTAAGCAAAGGGAAGATAAAACTTAATATCAAGTCCTTTTTGTTTTTGCATATTCTTTTTTTTTATTTATTTTTATTTATTTTTTATTTTTTGCTGTACGCAGGCCTCTCACTGCTGTGGCCTCTCCCGTTGCGGAGCACAGGCTCCGGACACACAGGCTCAGTGGCCATGGCTCACGGGCCCAGCCGCTCCGCGGCACGTGGGATCCTCCTGGACCGGGGCACAAACCCGTGTCCCCTGCATCGGCAGGCGGACTCTCAACCACTGCGCCACCGGGGAAGCCCTGTTTTTGCATATTCTTAGTCTCAATGAAAGCATGGTAGATTAAAATCATAATCCAAATTAATTTTTTTACTCCTTCTCTTCCATTTTTACTAGTAAAGGGATAAGCACTTTTGTGCCCCAACCTTTTCCCCTCAAAACAGTTACTGTCAAAAAGAAAGCAGGAAATCAGTTTAGTCACTCTTAAAATTTATAGAAATCAAGAGAATAAAAGAGCTGAGGGAGACTGCCTGCTTACCTATAAAATGTGCTGGTTTTAGAAGCAGTGTGGTACAGCATGAAGGATATGGGTGGTGGAGTCAGTAGATCTGGGTTTGAATCCCCACTTGTCACCTACTAGTTGTAACCTCAAGTTGCCTTCCCTGTAAAAGAAGGCTCATAATACATATTCTTGCAAGACAGAATTCCGTAAGAACATGTATAAAGTGCCTAGCAGAGAACCTGGCCCATGGTGTCCTTCTAGAAATCCTGATTGCCCTGCCCCTTGTCTTACTGCCTGGCATATCAGGGCTATAAATCAGCTTGAGGTGCGTATACAGTATCTAGATTCCTTAGGCTGTCAAAAGATTCTCCCTATTCTCATAGACCTTAATCTCCATCAGAACCCATAAATATTAAGAGAGAAAAAGTGACAGAAGGACCTTACTAGATTATCATGACAGTGGCAAAACAGTAAGAATCAACAACTTCCACATCTTAATGCAGGATACCACCAAAGGAGATGAGGCTAGAATCAAAGAGGCGGCAGGTGATTCAAGGCACCCATCCACCCATTCAAGGCAGGTGATATAAGACGAGCCTTCCAAATTCTAAGCTAATATAAACCCACACTATCTATCGCACTAACTCTTTCTTTCTTCTTCTAGAAAACAAACGAAGATGCAATTGATTTTGATTATACTGTTCTACTCCATGAATTCTCAACACAGGTAAAACAAAACGGTATATAGAACTGTTTAAACCACAAGTTTTTGCAGATCGTAATATTTTAGAACTCTTATTTCCCAGGAAATGATTCCCTGTCATATTCACTTGGTCTGGTACCCCGGCAAACCACTGAAGGTGAAGTACCACTGTCAAGAGCTACAGACACCAGAAGAAGCCTCTGGAACTGAAGAGGCATCAGCTGTGGCACCGACAGAGCTTAGTAATTTCTGAAAAGCAAAAAAGATCTGTTTATACCAAATTCTGAACAAAATGATTATACTAAATAGCCTAAATCATTATTCTAGTAAAATAGCCAAGGTATAAGGCATTCTAATCATTTGGGAAAGCCTGTGATTACAAGTAAATACTCAAAAATTAAAAGATACTGGGATTTTTGTTTTTCGATTGGTTTGGTTTAGTTTTTAACTGTGGGAGCACATGCAAACTGAACTCTGCTCAGTGCTAAACAGTTACTCTGCAGGTTCCTCGGGGTTTCAGCCCTAAAATGTAAAACCAAGTCAGTCAGTGTATGCTGCAGCTGGACCAGTAAGTATTTTAGAAACGTAACAATAAAATTGACGGTCACATCTATAAATCTGCATTTCTCAATGTTTTGAACATATTGTAGCTAACTATTCTGTGTTGTTAAATTGCTTCTACCTAGTATGTAAAAAAGATAATATATTTCAATGAAAGCAAACTGTAGGGAAAATATTACCTGTTTAAAAGGAACTTTACTATTTTTTATGATTTTGAGCAAGTATTCCTTTTAAATTTGATATCTACTTTTAAATGTTTGTTTCTAAATAAAATGTGTTACATGTGTTTGTAGAGATTTGTCTATATAGGCAAAATTTGTGCTAAGCTGGAATTAAAGGATATTTATATATTAATAAAAACTTTACAAATAAAAAGAGTGTCTCAGAGATAAAGCCGAGTGTCTGCAAACATGTATTAAATGGAACAGTGATGTAACTGAAAGTACATAAAGTATTTACAATTTTCACTTGTAAGGACAACTTGGACCCAGTGTTGGCCTAAGTAATTTATAAAAACAAGCACAATATGTACCATTATCAGATTTGTGGAGTACCTCCCCAAGGCAGGAAGAATTGATCCAGGAAATGTGGCCAGCATTTGCCTCTCAAAATTAGTATTTAATGGAATGCTTATATTCATGTCTCAAAACCCCTAGCCGGGTTCCTTGATCAGTAGCTGGTTAGGAAGCATCAGCCTTTTTAAAACATATCAAAATGTTATCTTTATGTCTGTAGTAGAAAACTGAAAAAGTTTATACTAAATAGAAAAAATTTTAAGACATGGACTCTTACAAAATAAAAGATGAATTATACTGTTACTTTTTAGCAGAGGCAGATCATGTATTATTCTGTTTAAAACCCCAACCCCTCTGCATTCATCTTCCCAACATCCTCTGGATTTAAGGACTGTAAGTTTTCCAAAGCACTGGAAACAATCATTTAAAGAAAACATCAGATCTCCCACATATATGATAATGCAGAGAAAATACTTTCCCTAAGATATCAAACAATCTAGTGATAAACAATGCCAGAACCAAGTAATAAACTCTTCTAACTGAAGTTCCCTAAATATCTTGGAAAAAAAAGTGCCAAGAGCATTATAAGAGCATATTCAATGTCCTGTGATTTTTAATCTTTCAGTGTCACGTTAAGAGCTAGAAAGGGGTTTCAGCTTTCTTGTCTCAACTTTCTAAAAGTCCTCTCATCCTTGTAAAGGCATTTTAAATTAGTGAGATTAGGCTCACAAATGTGATCATAATTCAATCAGGTAAGGAAGCTAAGGTGGTAACCCTTTAACAGATTTCGGTATAATAGATTATGAAGGTGAATTCTACACATATGACATACAAAAAAATTACCTAATTTATAAATTTACAAAACCTATAAGTTAAACCAACTAAAAATTTCTCAATTTCACCACCAGAACATCTTTTCTAGCACAAACTCTAGAACTGCTGACTTGGTTTTACTAATACTGATTTTGCTAGCTAACAGAGGAGAAAAATTACTTCATCTGCCTTGACATAAAATGAAAACCTCTAAATTCCCTAAGCCCTCTTTTATTCATTAAGAGTCTAAAGAATTCTGAATCACTCTGACCCCATGACAGTAACAGAGAGCATCACATTTATTTTCCTAATCTCTTTAGAATTTTCAAAAATTTTAAGACATACAAAATAACACCAGGATTTTGCCTGCATTCCATTTGATTCTACTTATAGTTTTGTTTTTCCTACCTGAGTTATGAATAGTTAGAAGTTAAGCAAGTTCTTTTGAAAGTCAATTGGAAGTTTCTATATTGGCCCTTGAATGACAGTGCTTCATGACATACGAGTTTATCACACTGATTTCTCTCAGCTTAGAAAATTCTATGACCTGTTCTGTGACCTTTCCTAACTTTCAAAGTGCTACAATCACTAGCATGCTGCCTGGCACTTATTTGAAAGGATAAATGAACCCATGCTCACAATAAATTGCCTGTGAAAACATGAACTATTTCAACGATGCATTACAGTTTTATTTGAAGACGCTTTAAGCAGCAATTAAAGCTCTAATTCAAAAATTGACAGTTCTAGCAATGCAAGTAGATGTTTTCTACAAAGGGATATATTCCTACATGTCACAATTTACTACTTACCTGGTGGCTGCCTCACTTCACTGGCATCAATTTTAAGTCTCATCCAGATTTCAAAAGTATTAAAATCTGAAAAATCCTAAAATTTCAGTATTAAATTTTAGTGACTTCACAACGTAAATCTAAGAGTGAGCAAGGAGGCAAGGAATAACAGAAAATTGACTGTACATCTTTAAAGATAAACTTACCAAGCTAAGAACCAATAGCCCAATCACTAACGTCACACAAAAGAATACTAATAATGTGACACATCTGAACAAATCCTGCATTTCATGTTTTGGAGGTACACGTTATACTGCAATGGTCTTTAACCTTGCCTGTATACTAGAATAAGCTGGAAAACTTTTGATCTTGATGCAAAGAATCAGAGTATCTAGGGGTTGGCCTGGGTATTTCTCTTTAAAGCTCCCCAAGTGATTTTTAAAGTGCTGCCAGGGTTGCGAATCAGGGCGCTACTGCAGCAGGCCTAGTGCTGCTACCATTCTCCAACACAAATCATACTGTCTTTAAATTAGCCAACAATCATCCTTTACAACAGTAGTATAAAAGAAACCCTCATTTATGAATATTCTCATTAATTTTTTCCTTATACAGACTTTGGCTGGTATGTGGTCTTTACCAACTCTAACCAAACTAATGAGTTAACAAAAGATGTGGGTTCTGGTCCTGGATGGGTTCCTATGTGATCCTATTCTAGTTACTCCCACCAGCTGGGCCTGTGTCGTTGCCTGTGAAATGCTGGTGTTGTGTTAGATATCTCAACTCTTTTCTGGCACCGTATCTTCATAACCAAAATGTTTTAACAAGTTAAAAGCACTTCCAAATTTATCCATCTTAGTTCTAATATTTCTGACTGTTAGCAACAGCAAGAGGAACTGTGCTAAATTCTATGAAGGTATTTCCTCATCAGGAACAATATTCAAAGTCAGTGTGAATAGCATGAGATGCTGATGAAATGCCAAAGCAACACAATTTTTCAGGCTTGATGCTACTGTAGCAACAGACATATTCATGGGAAAATGCACTTGGTTTGATAAGTATCATAACTGCATTATCAATTTGAAAAGTTAATGAGCTGTGTGGTCTTAGATAAGTTATTTACCTTACTCTGTGCTTTTGCCTCCTCTATTACAAAATGGTCATAATAATAGTACCTAGTTTCATAGGGTTGTGAAAACTAAAATGGATAATGCATTTAAAGCATTTAACAAATGCCTTGAAAACATTTGCTCAATACTTTTTAAAGGTCTTTTTTTCTAGGAACCTGAAGTTATAGAGCCAAATCTACAAATCAAGAAAAACAAAGGAATTTAAAACAGTTATTTCATGTCTATTATCCACTAAGAGAAAGGACTAGGATATGTCTTTCACATCAGATGGTTTTTGGATGAAGCAGTTCTGCACAATATGGTAGAACTCCCTGGCAATGTCCAACATTCTCTAGCATAACATTTGTTCTTTCACAATCTCAATGAATACAATATATGATACATTCCAGCAGACTAATTCAACTAGCATTTAATAGGTGGATGAAATAGACTAGCCACCAACCCTGTAGGTTATTAGTTCCAAGCTGCAGAAACAGTAAAATGAACATAGACAAGAATAGCATATGCAAGGGCCTTTTTTTTTTTTTACCTCACAGGTCTGCAAAAAAGTAACATTTATACTCCTAAAAACAAGCAGTTCAAAATCTGCAGAAGCCACAAATTGAAGCAATCAGCTCTATATAAAACAGCTAGAAATTTAGCTAGCATTAGAAAATCTGAAAAGTGTTCTCCATTTTTTTTTAAGAAAACACTTTATCCCTGTGCCTCATTTATTTCATAATGAAGTTTGCACCTTTTCATCTCCCTCACCTATTTCACCCCTCCTGCCCCTCCCTCCCCTCTGACCACCATCTACTGGGTTGTTCTCTGCATCTGTGAGGCTGTTTCCATTTTGTTATGTTTGTTCACTTGTTTTGCTTTTTAGACTCCACATTTAAGTAAAATCATACACTATTTGTCTTTCTCTGACTTATTTCACTTAGCATGATACCCTCTACGGCTAGCTATCCAGGTTGTCACAAAGGAATCCACTCTTAAACAAAAAAGGTGATGCTCCAAGAAGTGTTATGATATATGCAATTCACTTTCAAGTATACAGCAAAACAACTTGAAGAATGGAATTCCATATGCAACATAGATGGACAACAAACAGAAAAAGCAAATATGACAAAACAAATTATTATCCGATAAACACTTAACAAAATTGTTCATTGTTGAGTCTAGATGGAAGGTATATGGCTGTTCTTTGTAATATTTTTTCAGCTTTTCTGTATGTTGAAAATTCTTATGAAAAAATGTGGACGTTTATACATGTTCTAAGCTTATTCAGTATAACAGAAATAAGTATCTTTCTCAAATAAATATTAAATATATTTCAGTAATAATATTTTATTTGAGGTATAAAACCAATCAACCATTGAGATATACACAGAATTAACTATGATATAACAGAAGCTCCTGAATATACTAGGAAGGGCTTCTAAAATTACTTCTTTTCAGGCTGAATTTATTCCATGAATCCATTAACATATCTAAACCTTGCAGATACAGTTAAAGTTAGGCAACAAAGTGAGGAAAGTTAGTTCTTGGCGTTTCCTTTTTTTACAGGAAGTTGACCTGTAGCTTCCAAATACTTATTGATAAGGTCTTCTTGTGTAGCTGGTAAACATGGCTGATATCTGCAGTACTCCATTGTATATTCTCCCTTCCCCTGGGGGTTTAACACAAAAACAGAAACAAAAAGCAGATTTTTTTTTTTTAAACAACTATCAAGTAAAGTCATGAAAAGACAAGATTTCACAAAAACGATGATTTTGCAGGATGGTCTCCTGAAGAACACTGAAGTAAAATTTAAACACTTGCTTACCTCTGTGCATGACCTAAGTTCAGTAGAATAACCAAACATTTCATTTAGAGGGACCTGAAAACATACACAGTAGATATTTCAGCACTGCTTATTGAAAAATATTTGAGAAAAATACAGAGAAGACTTAGTCATTTAATTCCTTCCTTTAGACTCAGGTTTCAACTAACTACTCCTGGTTTAAAAGAATTAAAAGCCAAATAGAAACCTGTTTTTGTTTTACCACAGTAGAAACCCTATTTGAAAATAATTTCATTTGACAGACACAACTAGAAACCCAATCTTTCAGTTTCACGGAGCAGACGGACACCACTAACAGCCGTCCCTCTCATCCCCACTCCACGCAGCTGCAGCTCAAGCACTCAGAAGTGTTTCTTCTGTGAAAATGTGAATACAACTTTCCCTTGGACTCCTCAATGACAGGCCATATGCCAAGGGTAGTGTCTTCTAAGAGGCCTTAGGTAACGTGATAAACCCTTTCTCCCATGAGATTTAAGTAAGGGACAGGCAAGGGAATTAAATATTATCCCAATAAATTAGAACATGATAAAATGGCTATGCAAACAAAGCTATAATGAGAAAGGTAATTATGCATCTAAGAAAATGACATACTCACAAAAGGCCTACCTGAAATGAATCTTATTTTTAGATTTTGCACTTAAAGAGATACTCTAACAGCAAAGTACAGAAATTGCCACATACATATAAGCCACAAATTCAACACTCAGCCATGGAAATGTGCCAATCTGCTGTACAATTTCCAAAAACAAAAGCTAACTCTGATTTCCTCTTGTGGATAATAAAAGCAAGGTTGTCAGTGACTAACAGTACTTACATCTGCATATAGTGTAAAATAGTCCTCAATTCCATCTTGTCCCGTGATTATTCCATGGCGCCGGTTAATTCCTGCAATCACTGGTCCCTGAAATTCATTTGGAGCTACAACTTCCACAGACATAATAGGTTCAAGAATACATAATGTGGCATTTGCCAGGGCTAGGGTTTGAAAAAAAAATAAATTGGTTTATTAATCTTTAAACAAACTGGAACTCTTTCCTATTCACATATACAAAAGGGAAATATAAAGTGCTCTCCCAAAGGTACACACATAAACTATGAGGTTAAAATATGTGATCTGGACTCATTTTTCTAGTAGCAGCAGCAGTCACTCTTCTAAATGGAACTTACAGTAAGACAACACTTAATTCTAATATTAGTATGCCCATTACCATATTTTTATCCTAAAAATCATTAGGTTGCAGAAATAATATAAAAGGGTCTTAAAACAACATTCGATCAAGTCCCTTCCCATTTAAATTATGCAGTTGAGGGTTACTAATTCTTTCTGAAATCCTTCGGGAATAAAGACACTATCTGTTAAGCCTCTGACCAAGGTAAATCAATTCTTTCTTGCTGGTCCCTGGCAGACAGTTACTTATACTTGGAGACAATAATCAAGTCATGCCTGAGATATGTCTAGGCTAAACAATTTCAATACCCGACTGAGAATTAGAAAACCAAGTTTCTAGTTTCTGCTCTGCCTCTAATAAGTTATATGCCTTTTGGAAAAACACAATCTGTCCAGGTCATGTTTCTTCACCTACAAAATAAAGACATCGGCCTAGATGCTAAAGGCCATTTAAGCACTAAACCCCAATGTGTTTTTTATGTGTGTTTTTTTTAATTAAAAAAACTTATTTTTTTAATCCCACTTAGTACATAACAAGAACACTTCTTACTGTGACAAATGCTGACAGAGGTTGAAAATGTAACAGTGTGGAAAGAATATAAAAAAACTTCAAACACTCATATTTAATTTGGACATTATGATAGTGTGGAATAATACTTCAGCCTCAGACTGGATGAATTATCTTTAAATAAAGACTTTAAGCATAACATGAAAAGGTGACAAAGAAAATGTTTTGTTTTAAAATAATCATAATTTTCCAAGCATCAATTTGTTTATAATAATCTAGTCGGCAATTATTCTTGTATATTCATTAAAGCACTTGTTCTAAAGACACTATTAGTTTAAGTGCAATCATTATAAGAACAGCCATTTAATATACTTGCATTTCTTTGAAATGTTTTCTAATTCAAATCATATCTTAGCTCAGACCTAACTGACTCATTACTCCTAATTAGTGAATTTTGTTCTGAAAAGAGGAATAACTGAACTCTGCAGACTCCTAAGTTTCATTAGCTAAGCCTGCAGAATTCTATGTAGACAGCTAAAGCAGTAGACTAAAAATTCTAGACTGCAGAAGAAGCTCTATTTCTTGTTAACTTCTTGGGTTACCACAACAGCAGAGCTTCCTTGGCTCTAAATAAATGTAATTAATGCAGAAGAAGGTACCCGGAAAGAGAGATGTGAATAGACATATTAAAATTTAGTTACACATTATCTAGTGTTTTCAATAGGTCAGTAATATAAAAGAGCTAGAGTGTGAGACAGTCATATTCTAAAGAGAAAGAAGGGGCCAAGTATGTAGTGTATAGTATATAATTGTTGAGGACGACCTGTCCAGTTCTGAGTTTCATATTCCCTCACCCTGCTCCTTTCAACTCCCTCTTTCTTCCTAAAACCACCTTCTGATTCACCTAGCCCTTATCCATGCTTTTCTCTGTCCCATTCCATATGACAAGATACCAGAGCTAAATTCATCCTGCCATTTTTTAATAGTCACATGGCAGCCAAGCCCTACAAGCAATTTTTCCAGAAGTAGAATAAAAAGCAAGTGAAAATACCCACACCATCACAGGACCTTTTAAGCCAAAGTGGTGTGTAGAGATGGTAATGTTTCTATTTCAGTCCCCTAGGGATAAAGTTGATAACACCAGGCTGGGTGCTAACAAGGTTGTGTGAGGAGGTGGTCAAGGGCTAGGCTCTGGTCTGGGTTTAACTCTCAGCTCCACCACTAACATGTAACCTTGGGCCATTTGATTGACTACTCTTGAGTCTCAATTTTCTCAACTATAAGGCCACTGTTGAAGATATGATAATTCATGTACTCAACATAATACACAGCACAAAAGTGATCCATAAGTGTTATTATGACCACTCTGAGACCAAAAGCTGGCAAATGGGTGGCACTGCACAGTGCTAGGTCAAAGGTAATGTGAAGGGAAGAGGGATTAGCCTTCACTATGCCCAAATATGTGTGTGCAAGTGTTTTCAAGTACATTCTCATCTAATACTTTGGCATTACTATCTCCAAACAGCCTGGACTTGCCCATTTCCACAGAGTTAAGTATGAAGTAGAGCCAGCATTCAAACTCGAAGCCCAGGAGATCAGAAAGGGCACACTGCTGAGTAAAATGAGCTAACATGACTCTGGGTAGGCCTTTATTTCTCTTGTAGAGTAGCTACAAGTTCAATGTTTCTGCAGAGACCAAGCACAGAGGTCTAAAAATTGGCCATAGACAATGATGGCAACGGTTAACATCCATGGGGTGAAACAGTCCCTGAAAGAACATTCAATTTCACGTTTCAGTTTTAGTTACATCACTGATTAATCTCAGGGGCAAAGTTTACATTGTGACTGAAAATAGTTCCAGTTTTCATTTTTTTTTTAATGAAAACTACGTGAGAATTTGAACGATTTTTCTTCCAATTTTGATAATAGAGAATAGCTCAAAAGTATAAGCTAATCTGATACTAAGCTCATTTATCAACATTTTCCACCCTAAAACTCTCACATGATAATCAGTGGAGGTGTATGCATGCATGAAAAGCTGATTTTCTTAAGAGCCCAGCAAAAATTTCCTTTTACCCTTCTATCGTTCAGTCGTGGAGAAATAAGAATCAGATGATGATACAGCAAAGTAATTCATTTTTCACACTTGCAACCTGTTTATTTGCACACATTTATCTGGCAAAAACCAATACTCCTCAATTCAATTATTATCTGGTGCTTTTCCTTTGCACCCCACCAGGCAATCATCACACATAACAGTATTTGTACACTTAAGTATTTACAAACTGAGTGTACATATTTACCTGTTTAGTTAATGTGCAAAAACATCCAGACTTTTTTCATGGCTATATATGTGTATGTTATGGGCATATAATCTATATTTATTTATATTTCATATAGGTACAATTAAAAAGGTTGAGGCTCTTTGTTAATTGATTTTACCAATTACCTTGCTTTATGCAGCCTCTATCCAGGAAAGCTACCAATTTCCAGTCAAGAACCAGCATAGAACAGTTGGTGATTTCTAATTTGTTTTAACTATACTTTAAAAAAGTATCACAACGTATACATTTATCAAATCATTACTTTAAATATTTTACAGTTTTGTCAACTGCTCAATAAAGCTGAAAAAAAGAATATGAAGTGATTACAACCAATTTGCCAGTCTAAGATTTATTAAAGTGGTGAACCCCTAGAAGGCAAGAGGCAGGTGTTATCAGTACAATCTGAATCATGCCTAATAAAGTTTTATTTTCTTTGTGACTTTATTTCCCTTTTTCCTATTAATACAACTGACAGACTGTGACAAGGTTTCTAGATCATAAATTTCAAATGCATTTTTAATAGCTAGCTGGCATAAAGAAAATGGAGGATTCTCTCACCCTTTCACAACCGAGAAACAAACCCACAAATTACTAATGGTTCCCATTAGTTTAATTAAAATAAGGAATTAGCAACCTGGTCAAGGAATAAGCAACCTTCTCCAGCCACTGCCCCACACCTGGTCACAGATGCAAACAGACCAAAACCAACAAAGTCCAAAATTCATACAATAACATCCTGATTTTCCGTATGTCTGGAAATGATGTGTTAGGATTAATTTTCTGCTGTCTATTTTGACCCTCTTTGACAAAAATACCTCTGAAATGTTTTGTGAATCATAATGTAATTCTCTGCAAAACCCCACTTATGGACATAACTAATGAATTACCATATAACAGATATGGAAGAGATGACAAAGAGAATGAATTTTCTGGCTCCCAGTTACAACGTAAAAGCCCCCAATGTCAAACTGCTGTGCCGTCATTTGCTTTTCTCTCTTAAAAGCAATGAATCAGATATATCTGCAATTGCTTAGGGTTCTGTTTCATCAGGGTTTTAATAGACATATTATTCTATGTGGAAAAGGTTGACAATTTTAGCAGTTTAACAAGAAGTCTGCACTGAGAATAAGGTTTACTGAATTCTTTCAAATGCCTAAAAGCCTACAATGTCATATATGAAAAAGTTGTTTACAAATTTATAGATTTTTCTGACATCTGAATAAATCACTAAAAACAGGATGACTATAGTTAATGTTTCTTTAAAATAATTCTGAGCATTTCTGTCTTCTCTATTAAAAGTAGAACTTACAGATTATCTATGAATTTAAACTTACAAAAAATACCAGGTAATTTAGGAGAACAAAGTAGGATTTTAATTTTGTAAGAAAGAAAACACAGTAATCTATCCTCACTTTGATTCTATGAATACTTGCCCAGAGCCTATCCATGTTCCCTGGTGTGCTGCTTACTGCTCTGGTGGGGTGGGGGGGATGAGAAGAAGACCTAACCAACACAGTGCTGCCTTCTGCGGCTCTGATGGTCCACCAGGGAAATAGATGCACTGATGTGGCAACTGCTAGACACAGCGTACCTTGTTTAAGAGCACCTTCTCCTGCACGGATGAAAGAGATTTCATTGGAATCCACCATGTGATACGCTCCATCTTGCAGGACAAACCGGAGCCCAGAGAGCTTGTGACCAGACAGAGGGCCCTTCTCACAGGCATCCAAAAACCCCTGTTAATGAATGAACACAACTTCTGGAGTGAGTGGGTTTCACTCACAGAAGCATTATGAAAAACCCCCAAACGTTTTAGTATTCAGAAGTGTAACATTTTTATGTATGCTATATTTCATTCTTTAAAAATAATTTTTTTTTAAGTTGAACAGCCTATTTAAGTATTATTATTGTGGAATCTAGATGAGCAATCCCTTGCAAAAGTCTATTACTTAAAGGTGAGAGCTGGTTTGAAAGTGATGCTGAGAGTGCTAGCAATCACTTTCTCAACCTTTTCTTCAAGAATTACTAAACTCTCATGATGCATTACAGAGACAGCATGATCTTAATTTTACAAGGAGGAAACAGAGGAAAGGCAAATCTAAGAAATTCTCTAAAATAAAACTTCAATCAAAACTGACATCTAATCAACAGCTGTGTCTTAAGCTCCTACTACATACCTATCACTGCTCTGCCTCATTGGCAGATCGCTACCTAACAGCTTTAGTGTTATACAATGTCAGTAAGAACTAAAATTAAAAGCTAATTTCATTTTTCCAAAGCAATTCCTTTTTAAAAAAAGCAGCTTTATTGAGGTATAATTGATATACAATAAACCATACATATTTAAAGAGTACAATTTGATAAGTGTGCAATTTTTTTTTCCATTCAGTCACTTAAATACTCGTAGAGCTCCTACAATTCAAGATAGTTTTTCATGGCAAGACAATCACACAGCTGCACATGTAGTACAATATATTTCTGACATTCAAAACTGTAAACTCTAAATGCTGAAAAATATCTGAGCTTTCCTTCACTTACATTAATCCTGGAGAATAAAAGATAATTTAAAAGTGTGTGAATGACAAACTACTGTCTTGAAATAAAGGGTAATGAATGAAACACACTAATCACAAAAAATGCTACCAAAATTAATGCTGAAGCCAAAATTATGATCTGTTAATAAAGATTTCTAAGTTAAAATGTTAAAAAAACCTAAAAATCTCAATCTACAAGAATAGACAGTTGCTAAAGGTTTACAACAGTCTTAAAGCCAGTTGACCTAGAAAGTCAACAAATCACTAGTAACCCATTATATGTGCAAATCACTTCACAATTCCCAAAGAAATATCAGAGTCTTATCTGATCCTTGAGTTTGTGAGGGGTTCGGAATTAAGTACTATATGCTCGGTTTACAAAAGAAAGTGGCTCTGAACACCATGATTTACCCAAGGGCATGTTAATCAGTAGCAGAGATGAGGACAGCACCCAGGTGTTGGGAATCTTAATGAATGTACATTCTACTACATCAGTACACCTGAAAGTTTCATAAACCCCTAACACCTACTGCAAATTTCAAGTGCTGATTATAATCAATGAAGTAGTTTCAATTTATCAAGAGAAATACAATAACTATGATTAAGAAACAGAATGACTTCCCCTCATCATCATAGCATATATTTATAGCTCTTGAACTTAATGATTCTAATCAGATGGAAAGCTTAATGAGAAAAAACAGAACTATAATGAAAATGAACCACAGAAAACAATGTGACAGCAATGTGCTTTGATACCTAATAGACTGTTTCTGATTTTTTAAAAAATGCAATAAAGTTTTTTTTTGTTTGTTTTTACCTTTTCTACGGCAGGCACAAATTGCTTTGGAACATTTGACCCGAATGTTTCATCTGAAAACTCCAACTTAGTGTAGTTCTCTGGGTCCAGAGGCTCCAGTACACCTATCACTTTTCCAAACTGGCCTGCACCACCTGATTGTTTTTTATGTGTGAACTCAAACCTGAAAGTAATTTAGGAAGAAGAAGAAAAAAATCAACATAGCATTATATAATCACCAAAATGAAATAACTCCTACTAATTTAAATGAAAGACCAACTCTCATCATTTTTACTTTTTCCTTCAAATACGATGGCCTTGCTATAAAATTATTATAGAATTTATTTAAAAAGTAATCCTGTCCTTTCTGTTCTTACTTGGAGGTGAGGGTGGGGCACACCACCAAAGTAATCCATGGTTTTAATTCTGCTAATTCTGAATTTCACAAGTAGAAAGTAAAAGTCAACAAATTAAAATAAAAAGTCTGTGTAAGGTTCTTATTCTATTAATAGTAATCTACATTCCAAGAGCTTACCCATTTCTTTCGGAATGCCTCCCTTCCCTGGGACACAGTGTTCTCTCCTTAAATCTGTATGAGGACAATTACTTGAAAATAGGAGCTATGCAGTTAGTTCACTGAGATAGTTGCTATTTGATTTTACAACTTGTACACTATGGATTGAGAAAATATGAGAGAAGGGAGTTTCAGGCGGAATAACTAACACCTGAAAATGATTAATGGCAAAATGATCATGATTAACATAAGTCATTCAAATAGACACACAGGGCTTCCCTGGTGGCACAGTGGTTGAGAGTTCGCCTGTCAATGCAGGGGACATGGGTTCGTGCCCCGGTCCGGGAAGATCCCACATGCCGCGGAGCGGCTGGGCCCGTGAGCCATGGCCGCTGAGCCTGCGCGTCCGGAGCCTGTGCTCCGCAACGGGAGAGGCCACAACAGTGAGAGGCCCGCGTGTCGCAAAAAAAACAAACAAACAAATAGACACACAGGTCAGTGTTTACTTGAAACTACTAATGACAACATAAATAGGATGAAATAATCACCTTACATGCATACTAAATATATGTAAACACAGGCTACAATATCATTGAAAAAACATTTCATGAGTATCTACTGTTTGCAAGGCATTTTTCCTTTAAACTGAAACCTTCCTCAAGACCATAAGATGTAAGAAGCTGGCTGCTTTCAAAGGTGTCTGCAGATAACTGCAGGTAAATGGCATTAATGAGTGTGTGTTCCTGCGTACAGATCTGTGAATGGTTTGGAAGAGGTAAACAGCAAATTTCAGTAGATGTCAGCTTGGAATAAGCAGTTTCCATAGAGAGCCTAAGCGTGAATGTGCCTGATGAACTGCCTTTAAATAATCTTCCAGCAGCCAAGAGCTTCAGGATAGGCTGGGAAACAATGCTGAACGGTTGATTTTCCCGGGAGAGAAACAAACAGCTATCAGAACCGAGAGCAGGAAAAGGAGAAGAGAAACAACTGCCAAATCACCACAGAATTACTGAAGGGATTCCAAAACTGTGGTCCACTGACGTATTTTCTAGTATGCTCAAGTTCTCTGAGACATTTTAAATTTTGTTTTCAATTTGACAATAATATGACATACAACATACTCTAGATCTGTGCTGTCTATATGGTAACCTCTAATCATGGATATTTACATTGAAATTAAATAAAATTTAAAATTCAGTTCCTCAGCTGCACTAGTCACATTACAAGTGGTCAACAGGCAGGTGTGGAGAGTGGCTACTGTCCGGGACAGCAGAGCCAAACATTTCCATCACTGCACAAACTGCTACTGGACAGCAGTGCCCTGGAGGGCTAGATCACAGCCAAGCAATCCCTGCAGTTTCAGGGACCATGGCTGCGTTTATAATCAAGTGGATGCCAAATAACAGGACACTTATGCGCCAGGCTTGTGCTAAGCACTTTTTATGAACTGTCTTACTTGTTCTTCACCACAGACCCCAGGAAGTAGGCACTATTTTTTATTATTATTTTACAGGTGAGAAACCTGAGGGTCAGAAAAGCTAAGTAACTTGCCAAACGTGATACAGCTCTTAAGTGGTAGAGCCAGGATTTGTACCAAGACCAACACTCTTAATCAAACATGTTTCTAAAAGGCTAATAAGAATATAAACTGATTTAAGCTGCACACGATGCATTCACTTCAAAAGCTGTTAGAAGACACTGCACAAAGTGAGATTTTACTGTAGCTTAAATGGAGAAGTGGAAGAACTAAGACATCACTTGATAGGCACTGAATAGATATGCTGAAGGCAAAAGAATCCATGCTCCTGTGGTCAGACCACTGGAATTTTGTAAAAGACAATTTCATTTTGACAAAACATCATCATCTCTCACATTAAAATTACTGTTAATTAGAATTGTGTTGGTTTTATTGTATATCTCTGTTTTGTAGATTTATTTTGACTTCATAGTCTTATCAAAGTTGCAAGCCATAGGCGTTTTTACTTAAGTTTTATGTCCATACAATTATTTAAAATAATAATTTAATTTGCCCGATCCCAGAGACCCATAATAATTTTGCTACTTTCAAGGTAACTCATACATTATTCAAGTTTGCAGATAATGACCTCTTGACTTACCACTAGTGAAATTTTAGTAAGTAAGATTTCAAGGACTCACATATAGGAATAAGATTCTCTCAATGCAGCTTATTTACTTAACATCTAAATAGGCAGTTTAAAATTTTTAATATAATAATTATATTTTAAAAAGAACCTAAATTGGTATGTGTACTTTTAGTAAATGCCTGATATGTCACAACCTCTGTTACTAGCCTTGATCTACAGAGATGGTAACTGTATCTGTAAAGCTTCAAAAGGGTGATTTCATCTAGGAAGCTCACATATTGTACTCCTCACAGCTCTAACTGGTAATAAAACAGATGTTAACTAGCTACTTGTGAAAACTTTAAAATTTCATTATCAGCAAAAAAGCTCTTTCTGGGTAATTAGAATGTATTAGGCCACTCCTTCTTGGACACTATCAAAGGAGCACATAATTCATACAACTAACACACAAATACAATGACAACCTAAGAGGTTGGCTGACAGATGAATGACTCACACACACACCCCCCTGCCCCCGCCCCAAAACAGAAAAACAAGCTTCAACTTTTTATAAAAAGCCTTGAGGAGAAACTAACCCTTTCATCCTCTAGTTACCTGATGGTTGTTGGCTAATATAATTAGAAAGAATGGGAATGCCTTACTACTTACTATTCTTTAAAAATCTACTTACTCCAAATACTTTATTTATAAATAAATAAAAAAGGGTATTTGAGGAAAACAACACATTACAAATACATTTTTGTTAACTTTTTTTAAAAAAAGCAACACAATGTATGTCTACCCAAGGAAGCTTCAAAATTCGTTTTGGGAAAATAGCAAAGAGTCTTTATTTCTAAGCCAACAAGCTACAGTGTCAGTTTGGCTATACATTTGATGGAAAGAAATCTTAGCTGGTAGATCTACAGCAAATCCAAAGAACAGCATAGACTATAGTTTCTTTAAAGCTTACAGGAGGTAATTAAGAGATCTGGAGAGTAAAAATGCACTGCCTACTAAAAGTCTGTGCTTGCTTAAGGAGCTTTAAAAACTGCTTTTGTTATAAGTTACTTCAATGTAGTGCTTTGTATAAATTCAGTATTTAAGTAAGTTTTAATCCTCAAAGTAAAATTTTCAAAGTGATTCAGAAAGTTGGAAGCATGGTGTGATATTAAAACCTCATCTTTCGAAGATCAGCAAAGGGAGAGGAGTGCAAGTACCTTTTAAAATTCTCCTGACCTAAATTACATAATCCTCCAAATTAACGCTATCGTTTGCAGTCTCTCGTACCCTGATTTGGGCAGAACTGATACACCACCACAGAAAGCTGGGTATGAGCAAGCCTCTTCCTGGCCAGGGAAGGGAAAAGAAGGAATCACAATGACTCACTACCTGGCGCTCCTTTGTACTTTGCCCCGTGCCGGACACCGCGGATAGTGTATAAGGAAGTTGCGCTCGTGCCGGACACTGTGGGTGGTGTATAAGGAAGTCGCGCTCCAGTCTGCAAGTAAAGTAACCATCCTCCTTCCACGAAGAGGAAACTTGAAGCCCCAGAGACTCTCCACTAAGGCGAAGGCCCGAAAGCCCCTCCCCAAGCTTCTGTAAAGGTCAATAAAAGGAAGGATGTAGTCCCTGACAACCCAGCCCAACGACTCCCTCCTCACCCCCCCTTAAAGGAGGAGGGGGCTCTCTCTAAACAGGGACCAGAGAGTAACAGTAGGCGGTAGCAGGGCGGGGCTCCAAGAGCAGCCTCGGTAGGAGCCAGCTCCCAGGCAGCGGCTTGCAGAATCGGAAGGAGGGAGACAGGGAGGGAAGGAGGGAAGGAGGAAGACAGGGAGGGAAGGAGCTGGCGGCCCCGCCCCAGGCCCCGCCCAGGCCGAAGAAGGAGGGCTTACTTTTCCGCCTGGGGGACTCGGCAGCAGGCAGGACGGGGGTGCCCTTCCCTTCCTGTGAAGCTCGAGCAGCCCCACGCAAGCCCAGCCGCCGCTCACCAAGAATGGCAATCCCTCCGACCCACTACCCGGCCTCCAGGGCGGCCTCGGTGGTAGAGAGCTGCATCAACTACCAGCAGGGCAGCCCCCACAAGGTGTTTCTGGTGCAGACAGTCAAACAAGCCAGCCTGCAGGTGAGTCGGGCAGAGGGTGGTGGCGGCACCTGCTACCGTTCCCCCCACCGTCGAGGGTCTCAGCTCCACCTGCTCCTGACTCCCCACGCCCCTTGCCCGTTTTGGGCCTCAAGGCTGGCTGTCTCTCTAGAGGAGTTGGCTTTTCTAGGCTTGGGCTACACTCCAGTCTCTGGGGACAGCCCCGGGGCTGTTTGTTGTTTTTACGGGAAGGCAGAGACACTGATAGTTTTTATGGGCCCTGCTACAAGGAAATCGGTAAATGTTCTCAATTGGGGCGGCTTCTCCCCTTTCCCCAAGTGAAACCTATAGGAACCATTTTCAAAAGGATCTTAAAACTGGCGCTATGTTTAGCATCTACTACTCCAATCTGGGCCAAGAGAAGCTCCCGTCTTGCAAAAGATTCTTCACTGCCTGAATTTTAAGATCAATCCTTTATTAGACTCTTAGACCAAAATGAAGGGGTA